CCCCCTTCAAAACAATGTTGACTGTTATTGCAAGCATTGTGCTTCACAATTTCAACTCAATCACGAGCAACATTGCTCTGTAGGGGGGAGGGGAGAGGAAATTATACTTTCACATGGGTAGTCTCATAATTTTTGTGAAGGATTGTTGGTGCATGGTCATTTTTTTGTAAAATATTATACTTAGACAAATTTTTCCTTCCAATGACCACCCCTAAAACCAACCCTTCTGAACACTATAAGCACTTCAGAAAGGCTATTGCTTTTCCTTTTCGGAAGTTAGAGCTATGTCGACACTGCCGTTTCAGGGTGGGATCATTTTCAGGACTTTCGTCCCGGATTCAGGTTTTGGCACATATGCCATGTTGACCGCCATGGTCATTTTACCCTAAAACAGTTGAGATTACCTGTCCTAAATGAAGCGCATACAAACTCATATACAGGTCCTAGACTAATATTTAGTATTGATGTCTGATGAAAAGGCGCCAAATTTTGTAACCAAATTTTGTGGCCTGCGTCGAATGTCGACCGCCATTCGGAAGTGAGAAAAAATGCGGAATGCACATATCAGTGAAATGCGTTGTAAAAATTTTCTGTGCCTTTGGCACGCCCCCCGTATTTCACAAAGTGTCCACCACTTGCACACACGGTGGCTTAAAAGGTCTTAAAACTGTTTATTCTACCAATAAATAAAGGTTTTTTTATTGACTGGGATTTCAGTAACTCGGACTGGGATTTCTAATAAAAATCAAACTGGGATTTTGCCAAAACTTCAGGTGGGAAATGGGATTGGGACCCCCCTTCAGAGCCCTCGAAATTTGCGGTGTCCTGATATCCAGGGGATGATAAAATTTGGCTTTGGATACCAAACTGTGAATGACTTATATCTCAACTGGATACTAAGAAAATTTCAAACATTGATAGCTTTGAATACTGTCTATGAGTTTGCCACCCAAGTCTTTCCTCATATAATGTGCATTTTTGTATACTAATGAATTGTCTAGTTCTTGACAACTTGACTGTTGAATCTCCTGTTGTTATTGTAATTTGTAACAGCGAGAGTTATTGGATGGGACAGGGTATAATACTTATGGTAACCAGTATCCAGAAGTGGGATACTGCATTCACAGGGGGGTACCCTGGAACCAGAGGGTATTTATTTTCGCCTGTTTTGAATAACCCTCTGGTGAAATTGGCGTAGTTTTCGGGTTCACATTCCACACATAACTTTCAAAAATGGAAGCAAAGAGTTGATTGGCTGCTGACTATAGGTTCGATAGACTACGTGTTCTGATTGGATATTGTAAACATCATAGCCTGTGTTCGCAGGCATTTCGTGTTTTGATTGAATTGAAACATTTGAATTTTGAAATGTCTAATAATATTATTAAATAAACGAACAAAAGTTGAAAGAAGCAGTTTTATAGGCTGCATTAATATATAGATTGATAAATTTCCTGAATTAAAGTTTAACGGAGCATCAATACCGCGCCTTGTCCAATTTGATTCACATTAAAGATGTTAAAGATGTATTTGCATCTTGCTATCGGTTATGGGAAGAGTTTAATATTCCAAAGTTCTAACACCGAGAGTAGCACGACGACTTGGCAAAAGCCACAATTTTCTGGAGAAACCCATCTTAATAGTCATTTGCAAATTGAACTATTTCATTGACTCTCACGTCCGTGAACTAAGAAAGCGTGGATGCCGTGTTACTTCACTGTCAAACGAAGAGGACGAGAAACTTTCTCAAGCAATACTAGATGGAGAGTTTACATTCGCATTTTGTAATCCCGAGTCTATTATTCGAAATGGAGAGGAATGGTTTCATTTGAAATCTACAAGACAAATTTGCTTGCTTTTGTATTAACAGAAAAAGTTCACGTCGGCCCAAATAGGTGTGTTTAATCAATTTATAAAATACAGATTTTTTTGAATGTATATTGCAGGATTAAATTGAATGTATATTGCAAGATTAAAGTGAGTGAATATAAATATATATTTATATTAAATTGAATAGATGTGATGTTTTAAATTGAATGAAATTCAGGAGAATGAATATTGCTACAAATTGGCAGGCATACACTGGACAGTAAACATGCGATAAAACCCTGTCTAGACGGCCTGGCGTCAAGGATAATGATTGGATAATATTTTTAGAATATGATGCATTAAGCCATTATACATTTTTTGCATTCTTTATCCGAACCAGGAATCGCTAACAAATTCACCAGAGGTTTTTCCTTTTTCTTCGTGCGTTTTCTCGCATTTCGCGTTTGCCAAACCTAAAAAAACTCTGGGCCAGGGTAACGGGGGATACTAAACTTTGAATCCTGGTATCCTAGTTGGATACCTGCGAAAAATCAAATATGAAATTTGTATTTTAACAGATTTGAACAGCGAAAAGTTACCACTTTTTAAAATACCACTTTTTAAAATACTGTTTCCTACTAGTTTCTACTGAAACAATTAGATTATTCACTCTCGATTTCTATGAAGTGATAGTCGATGATGGCAAAACACCTCATCGTCTATCACCATAGTCTAATTGTTAATTATTAGTAAAAGTACCAGTTAGGTATATTACGCCAAAAGAATACAAGAAGTCCAAGGGCATCGTCAATTGTCCAAAAATGTACAATTTACAAAGGGAAAATATAACTAAATGGCGTAAATGCGTGTTGTATTCTATGTTATATTATATACCACTTCTCAGCATGAAATTAAAAGAAATGTTTAAAAAATGGTGTACAGAAACGAGACTTTTAGAAATGAACTTATTGCTGTTAAGCACTCCTTAAAAACATATTCAAATCGTATTTATAACTTCAGAAAATATTTTCAAATTAACAAAGTCAGACTATCAGTTTGAATAAAAATAGTTCTTTATTTAAACATATTTTGAGAAACGTTTGCCCCAAGAGCTAATAAGCTCATCAAAGGGGCTTACGCCTATTTACATGTTGTATTTAAATAACATCAGTCAGGAGACAGCTGGATTATTTCGTCACATTCATCTACATAAGCATAGCCAACAAAAAGTCTGGATTGCCTAATAAACTGTTGCACACTGGAAAAAATGTATCTATTTTGAACTAATGACAATTCATCTTAACCACTTAGAAGTATTCGTACTTTTGTTGAGTCTGATTTTCTATACCAGCTGTCACCTAAATTTTCTAATACAGCTGAGAGCAGAATATTTAAATCTAGGAGCAGCATATCTTGGACAATACAGAAAATAATTAATTACAGATTCACAATGAAAACCGCATTTACAAACTGGTGACGGAATGCAGCTTATTTTAAATAAATAATAATTAAGAGCACAGCAGTTTAAACATAGCCGAGTATGTAAAATTGAGTTGTATCGATCAAGAGTAAAACTAAAACGTTTTTTATAATTTGAAATATCAAAAAAATTCTTTAGACGATTCTTGAAAGTGTTTAATCAGTCTGAGTTCCTTATAACGTTGTCAAGAGCGTTCCATAACCTAGTAGAATCAGGAAAAACGATCTTTTAAACCTTTCGGTTCTACAGGGATAAAGTGTCAAATTATCAGCAGATCTTAGCTATAATCCAGATATTTGCTGTGAAGTTGCAGGAATTAGATCAGTTAAATATCTAGGTATCAAGTTATTTACTATTTTAAAAAACAATACAAGTTTATGCACAGACCGCCTTGTTTTTAGTTCCTCCCATGCAAACTCATCCAATAATTTCCTTTGACTTGTGCCTTTCATAGCACCAGTAACCAATTTAGCAGCTTCATACTGAACTGATTCTAATAAGTCATTAAGACCATCAGAACAATCATCCCAAACAACATCAGCATACTCCATTTTAGGTCGAATTAGACATTTATAGAGCACTACCAATGTATCCCTATTAATTTTAAATTTTAGTCCTTTCAATAAATTTAGAGTTTTTGAAGCTTTCCCATAAATTGTCATAACATGTTCTCCCCAAGACAAATTAGAAGAAAGGGTAACACCAAGGTGTTGATACCCCAAAACTTTAAAATTTCACTTGAACAGTTTAATCACTTTATTATCAAAATATATGTCGGGATGCTGTGGCTTATTACGTTTAGTCGAAAAAATCATCGATTCTGTCTTACTTGGATTGATAGTGACAAACCAATCCCTCGTCCATTTTCCTATTTTATCTAAATCACTATTAAGTTTAGCAGACGAAGAATTAATATTGTCAAGCACATCAATCAAGGAAGTATCATCGGCATAAAGAGAACAATCAGTTTCGAGATCAGTGGTAATATCATTAATGTAAACCAAAAACAAAGGCCCCAACACTGACCCTTGAGGTACTTCGGCCTCTATATTTGACCACTCTTGATGCTTGGCCATCAATAACAACACGCTGTTTTCTATCAGTTAAATAACTTTTTATCCAAGCTAACAGAGGGTTTGTGATTCCTAAGGATTTAAGCTTAAATAATAGACCTTTGTGCCAAACCTTATCAAAAGCTTTTGTCATATCAAAAAAAACAGCTTGCACTTCTTTACCTTGTTTGAAAGCTTCATAAATCTAATGTACAATAAGAACAAGTTGATCAACCGTTGAGTCTCCTGACCGAAAACCAGACTGAAAGGGAGTGAAAAAATTTATTTCCAACAGAAAATTATATAGTCGAATAAATACAATTTTTTCAAGAATTTTGGATAAACATATCAAAAGAGAAACTGGGCGATAATTAATTTTTGATTGTCAATCATTCTTTTTGAAAATTGGTATGACATTGGCAAATTTCCACGCAGATGGAAAATACCCTGCATTGAGTGAAATATTAAAAAATTTGGACAGCGACGGTGCTATAGCATTTGCGCATATTTTTAAAAGGGAATTTCCTAAACCATCCACCCTGCTTGCCTTTGCAATATTCAAGTTTTTCAGTAAATTAATGACTTCAGTTTCACATGTGGTAATCTTGCCTAGTGATTTGGAGCTTTGGAATACTCTAGTATTTGGTATGGGGGCATCTAAATCTGGTATTTTACATTGACTGGAAAAATATTCATTCAATAAAGTAGCTTTTTCTTTAGCATCAGTAATTATACATTTAAAGTTTGTTTGTTCACTGCAACCAGGTATATCAATCATGTTTTGCTCTCTACTCTGGTTTAAATAAATTATTACAAAGCCAAGTCGAATTGTAATCAAGACCCAACGTTTCAACACTCCAGTCTAGTGTCTTCATCAGGGGTGATCTAAAGATGCAATTGTGGCTTCTTAAATACCCAAGGGATGACGTCACCTGCCAATGAGATGCATATATTCCTCTGGCAAATAGGCACCGTCATCCCTATTCAAAGCATGATTACTCATATTTATATGCCACGCTTCTAAGCAAAGTCTTTGACCATAGCGATTGTTTGTGGTAATTACTTTCGAGTTTACCCACGCAATCTCGTGTTTGGTGTAACATACATGATCGGCTAAAGCTGATTTTCCCTTGTCTAAAGTTGAAACAGCCTTTTGATGTTCTTTTAGCCGTGTACCAAACTGGCATTTAGACTGACCCAAATATTCTTTCTTGCAGTCACCGCATGGTATAGAATATACAGCGTGAGTTATCTGATTTGTTTTAACAGGATCTTTTGGCTTTGTGAAAATATGGCCTAAAGTCAAATAGGGTTTTAAGGCAACCTTAATATTACAATTACTTAAGATTCTCTTGATTGGTTCTGTGACACCTGGAATGTATGGGGAACTATCGCATAACCCTTAACAGAGGTATTACCCTCGGAGTTATTTTGGTTCCTACAAACAGGTGATGTCAGGCAATCATTAAGAAAACGTTTTGGGTAATCGTTTTCCCCTAAAATATTTAGGACATATTTACGTTCATTAGCTTGAGAATCACTGTTTGACGGCAAGGATTCAGCTCTTTGAAGCAAAGTTTTTGCTACGGATCTTTTATGGCTTACTGGGTGATTAGAGTCGTATGACAAGCATTTGTCTCTGTGTGTGGGTTTGCGATAAACATCAGTCTCTAACTACCCTTTGACAGTTCTGTGCACATTCAAATCTAAAAAAGCTAAATGTCCATTTATCTCACGTTCTACCGTGAATTGGATGGACGGCTCGATAGAATTTAAATGTTGCAGCAGAATATCGATTTCATTACTAGAAACCACAGAGATGACATCATCGACGAAGCGTTTCCAAAACAATAGAGATACCGGATCACAGGCTAAAGCTCTTTGTTCGACATCTTCCATTACTAAATTAGCAATTACTGCCGATACTGGTGACCCCATTCCTGTTCCAAAAACCTGTTGATAATAACAGCCCTCAAATACAAAGTATGTGGTGTTGAGGCAAAAAGACAGAAGATCAATAATATCTTCTACAGGCAAGGATGTTCTTTGTAACAAAGTGGCATCCTGTCTTAGTCTTTTTGTCGCAACCTTGATAGCAAGATCAACTGGGATGTTTGTAAACAAGAAAACAACATCAAATGATACAAACACTTGATCTACTTTAAGAGTTTTGCCTGTTACAAATTCTGCAAAATGGCAGGAATTTTTGACAGTGTTTTCGGTATTCCCCACTACAGGAGACAAAATTTTGGCCAAAAAACGTGAAACTCCATATGTAGGAGAATTCACAAAGGACACAATAGGTCTCAATGGAATTTCCGGTTTATCGATTTTTGGTAAACCATATAGGCCATCAGCAGGATGGGTAAAATGTTACAAAAATTTTGTTTCATAGGTGGGCATATTTTGCATGATATTTCCATATTCGTGTCTACCTGTTTGACATCTCATCAAAATTCCCTGTGTTCAAAGTTGATCAATAACTGGATATATGCTTTTAAATTTACACACGAATATGCAAATTTAGCATCTTGTTTTGGCAGCTATTTTTCCTCGGCTTCTTAAAATAGTCCTGGTAACGAAGTCAACAGCCAATCATATTTTAGAATTCGTCACCTAGCAACCTTTCACTTACAAGATGGCTGCTATAAACAAGCAATGTAATTTGCATTTATGCAAAAGCTTGCCGGAAAATGAACCAGTTTATACACTAATGGCCAAGAGGTATGATACTTTTATTGAATATACGAGGCGGTGGAGTACTTTGTGTAAATATCCAGAAAAGACGGTGGCTTTGGCGAACTCTAGATATTTAGAATTGACATTCGAACAGGCTGGTGAGTTGTATTTTCACGAATCGTTCTACAAAAGATACACAGATGATTTAAAGTTGAAGCGTGCAAAAAGTGCAATGGTCAGTATACTTAATAGATTTAATACTATAGGCTGTACATATACATTAATCTTCTAAATTATTTCAAATTATTCGCTCAAAAATATTGTTGTTTGTTAACAATTTATGAAGGAAAGTACTCCCAAAGACCATGGATTTAAAAGATTAAGATCATCGACCAACGATTTAGCCCCTTCAGAAAAGAAAAGATCAAATGTTCTACCTTTGACTTGCATCATTTGCCAGAAACAGCTCAAGTGGGTCACTGTGGGTGGAAAGCAAGTTCATGACAAATTTTCCCAGGCAGAAACTGAGACAGCTGGTCAGTAAAATTTTATTATCATCAATATACTTAATGTGTAATTTTGTATTGTGGATTTATAACATTTTCTTGAGCCCCCAAGGGCACTGGTTTAAATTTTGCAGCCATCTCCTGTTATGGGCAAATTCATGGCCCACCTCTGTTTGATTGGAATTCCCCAGATGGCAATTGCCAGGAGCGATTACAATGGTTGGCACTAAGCGGGAAACTTTTAAGTCTGAAGTTACCGTAAACCTCCGACTATAAGCCCTGGGCTTATATACTTTTGTAAGCGATTTTTGATTGGCTTATACAATGGTGGGCTTATATACGGGGCTTATACATGGACAATCTTTTGTGTTAGTAATAAACAAGTCAGTCATAAACAGGAAAATAAACATGTATTAAGCAGCAATTACTGGGCTTATATTAATTCGGGGGGCTTATATTCGGGTGGGCTTATATTCCAGGGGGGGGCTTATATTTGGAATGAGGTGAGCGTTAGTACATGTGGTGGGCTTATACACGGGGGCTTATAGTCGGAGGTTTACGGTATTTGCATTTGCCAGTTTTCATAATATAAAAAGAGTGTTTGACTACTGGGTGTATAAAACAAAACCTTTTAGAAATTTCGCTTTGTCTAACCTATGTGCATACAATTAGAAGCTATCTTGAATTTCGAATTGAATAAGACTGTGAGTTTTTCTATAGATTCTGATTTGTTAAGATTTTATTTTATTGATACACCCTGCAACACCATATGTGCTGCTCGCTTGTGTCAAAGTGCTATTTTTAGGAAAGCTTCTCTATGCAGCTGAACAAAGCAAGATGAAAACATTTTGATGCACATTCGTGACCGTGATTGTATTGCAATAGAGGTTAAATACCACAGAAGCTGTTTCAAACAATATTGCAGAGGAATAACCTACATGCAAGAAAGGTATTAATACAAAATGCGATGTGTACTTGCTATAGGTGAATGAATTTTAAACCTGAAAGCTTTATCATCCTTTCTGCCAGGCTGTCATTGATGATTATTACTACATACGTCTTGTACTACCAAACATTGTTTACTTCATTTCATGGTAATAAATGGTGATAATCTTCATTAAAATACGTTCTGTACATTTATTTTCAGTCCTCAAGATAATATTGAATTGACCAACAATGATATATTCCATTGTCTTTCAGCCAGTGATGAAGATTCAGAACCTAGCCTTTGTGATATAAGTGACATGCCCATCCACAAAACCGACATGAAAAACATTGAGCTGTACCATACTGGCTTGGCTGTAAAGAAGAGTATAGCAGATCAATCTGATTGGAATATCAATTGGCCACCTACTTCAGAAGTAATCAGTCAAGAGGAATGTGCTAAACTTGTGCCTGTAGAATTATTCAATCTTTTAGCCCTGGTAATAATGCCACAGAAGAAGTTCCACCTTCTGACACCTTTGTGGAAGTGACTGATGAGGCAAGAGCTAAACTTGTATCTATTTGCATGGATATTATTTACCTGTCATCAAATGGACGGATACAAACACCGAAGTCTCTTGCTCTGGGTCTTACATTGCGACAATTGACTGGATCAACAACAATTTCTAACCTTTTGCACAAGTTTGGACACTGTGCATCCTATGACTCTGTAGTTCGATACGAAACTGGCTTAGCAATACAGCAAATGGAAACAAATAAAACAGTCCCCAAAGGCTTTCGCCCAGGAGTATTTACTGTTACAGTATGGGATAACATTGACATGGATGAAGAAACCTGGTCTGGAAGTGGTACAACGCATCACACAAACGGTATATTAGTACAACCTTCTGTCTCAGAATTTGAACAGCAAGCAACTTCCCTTAACATAAATAGGTCTCAGAGAACGCTTCAAGTAGAGCCTGTTCATATTGATCATTACCGGCTTACATCTCGTGAAGGTCCTCAAGATTTATCACCTGAGATATCTATTGGTACATCTACCATTAAGACAAATCGAATTGTTGCTGACCAAAGGAAAGATTTTGGATTTATAATGATTAAGTACTTAAATCAAACCACTCATCTTCTACCTGGTTGGACTGGATACAATCAACTTCTGCAGCATCATTCCATACTGCACAAGTCTGCTATTCATTACTTGCCAGTGATTGAAGCATCTCCCACAGAGTATTCGACTGTGAACATGATTCTTACTAACAGTGTTAAACTGGCAAATCAATTGCAGCTATAGTCCATGGTTGTCGTCTTCGACCAAGCCATTTATGCGAAAGCTCAGATAATCAGGTGGAAAGATCCAGTGTTAACAAGCAAACTGGTAATTAGATTGGGAGAATTTCATACCATGATGTCCTATTTGGGAATTCTTGGAAAACGCTTTGGTATTGCTGCGTTTCAAGATATCGTAGTTGAAGCAGGCATTGTTGCAGTAGGCTCCATCAATGGTGTATTAAGTGGAAAGCACTACAACCGGGCTATATCGGCTCACAAGCTGATTTCCGAAGCCCTGGAAAGGATGAGATTCAAAACTTTTGTAGATTCTCTTGCAGAAGAGGAAGGGGAATGTGTTACATCTTTGATCAAGAGGCTTCAAGACAGTTTTCACTCCCAAACTGATTTTGCAGACATATTGGGCTCAGAATGCGTGGACAAACTTGCTGTGAAATACAATTAATTTATTACCCATGAGAGTGAAAACTGCCCAAGCTTTGCTTTATGGAGCTCTTACCTATCGATGGCAGGAAACTTGCTATCATTCCTTCGAGCGACACGCACATCTGATTGGCTACTTCATCTGGATGCTGTCCGTCTCATGATTCCATGGTTCTTTGCGTACGACAGAGTAAACTACTCAAGGTAGGTATAAAAGAATGTCAGAATGTTAGCTACAGTAATTAAAACATTCGGCGTTAGACCATTTTCTCGATAACGTTAATCTTGAAATCTCTCAGTTCCGGTCGAGCTAAAGGATCATTGCTGCATGAACTTTGTTAAAGTGTACTAGAATTATAAAAGGGATAAAAAGTAAGTTATTTAAGGAACATTGCGCAAAATTTTTGGTCTTCTTGCAGAGCTTCCCAATTTTATTAAAAACGCCATTAATTTTTTCGTCCTTGGCCTTGTCAATTTAACACCCTGAAAGGAAAAAACTATTTCTTAAAACTATTGGCAAGTTTTTCCAACTTGTCATTGAATGCCGTTTAGATTTATGCTGTATCATACAAAAAAAAAATGCGGAAGAACTGTATAACGTTTATGATGATACGCGTAGATACGCAAAGAGTATATTAATATCTGTAAGCAAAGAAAAATTTTTCTTCCAGATACCTCCCTATTTACTGGCTAGAAATGAAAGAACTAAAGTACTCCCATCCTTTTTGCTACGAAAACATGTGTATGGAAGGACAGTGGACTGTACAATGACAAGCACAGCACTCTTTTGCGTCAATTGCTTGCGATCAGGCGATTGAGCAAACTGTAAACAGAGAAACCAAATCTACCAGAGGTCTTCGTGGCATTTCGCTAAATCGGGGTTGGTTTTGTTACATTTTAACATATGTTTAAATTGAATGTAATTGGTATTATTTGTATATATTTTCAGTGTTATGTAACAGTTGCACTAATATCATACAAATTATTTTTATTATCATAGGAGCTGTAAGACGATGGCTATTAGCACAACCTGACAGAGCAGCAATCAACCAAAAGTGTCAAGAAATGGCTATCTGGATGGTATGACGTAATTATTAGGAGCCCAGACATGGATGTTGCAATCATCAGCTTGTCAATGCAAGAATCTTGTCAGGCAAACTTATTCTTTGCTACAGGCAATAAAGATCAGGAACGCATTCTTGACATATGCTGCATGGTTGAGCAAGTTGGTCCTACTCTCTGTGCATCATTAATTGGCCTCCATGCCTTCACAGGTTGTGACTCTACCAGTTCCTTTGACGGGAAAGGCAAGGCTACTTTCTTCCATCTTGTGAAGGAAAACAACCGGTATGTAATGGCATTGACACAATTGGGTCAATCGTTCAACGCCAAGAGAGAGCTTATCACTCCGTTGGAAGCACTAGTATGTCAAGTCTACAAGTCCAACACTGAATCAGTTGACAAGGCAAGGTACCTTCTATTTTGTACCGGCTCGAAAGATGGAGCTTCCTTGCCTCCAACATAAGATGCATTAACACAACATGTGAAAAAGGCCAACTATCAAGCAACTATTTGGAGACACTGTCTCAAAAGCCAGTTGGAAGTGCCATCACCGATTGGTCATGGGTGGACCGCTGACAGTGATGGCTTTCTTCAGTATATCTGGATGACTAAACCACCTGCTCCAGATGATGTCCTACAGTCTTCTTTTTTCAGCTGTAACAAAATGGCGTGTGGGAAGAGATGCTCTTGTAAAGCTAAAAAATTGTCTTGCACTGGTCGTTGCAAATGTTTTCAGAATGAAAGAGACTGCTTAAATGAATTTACAATGAATCCTGAGATTGAAAATCATCTAAACGATGAGGACAGCGATTGTAATAGGAATATATAGCTAAATTCAAAGGCTTGTAACTTTCGATTGATCAAGATGAACTATGGGGAACTTCTGTTTTGAATCATTTTAGCATAGTGCTACATATAACAAGTGAGAAAAGGTTACCACCACTAATTTTTAAAAATGTCATTTTCTAGTGGCTTTTTTGGCATCTGCTGATGGCCTTATAGAAACGCGGAGAAACAAGGGGGAATTTCGTTCTCGACCAATCAGCGCTTTTGTTTACATTTTTGCCCTAAGCCAATCAGAATGCGTAAAACGCTTCATCACATGAAATTTGTAAACAAACATATGGGGTTACTTCAGAGCTTTTCTGCAAGCGGTTTTTTGTTTTTTTCCATGAAATTCATATATGTTGTTCTTAAAAGAATTCTCCTCAACTTCCTCATGGCGATTTTTGATTAATTGCGTGATTGCGAAGATATGGGTCTTCAAACTTTGCCTTGCGCAAGCTTAAATACCACCCCTCGAATTTGTAGGTTCCGAACGGATTAGCGTTTTTAAAAGCCTTTCAAATTGAGGTTTGAGACGTTTTATTTTTTAAAAGATACTTTTATCTTCATATTTTCACATTAACTTATTAATATCCTGTGTAACAAGTAAACAGGACATTTCCGGGCCGGGACAAGTTGACATGTCGATTTCTTGCCAAACAGCGTGGCGATCAATATGGCGAATATCTAAATACAGGGAATTTTTAAAATTTTGTTGGTATAAATGGGATAAAGAAGCTCATCAAATATTTGGACTATGGACTTTCAAACTTATGCCAAGTATTTATTTGATTGATTAGCTCAATAACTGTTTTTTGGCTCGTTTTTCGTCGATTTCAACATTTAGTCGAGCTTAGTCGACTTCAAAATAATGTGTCAACATTGCATGTTGCACCCTGTGGACATGAATATTTTCGTTTGTTTGACAATAACACTTGTCTTCATTGGTTTTAATCCTTGATTGACAATATATTCATTGGTCTCAGAGTCCTAAACTTAAGATGACATTGGGACAGAATGATTTTGTTCAATGTTGCTGTTCAGGTATCAAAATTTATGGACATATACCTGTATATGAACTTCATTGTTTTTTTACTTCATCTGGCTCACTTGTCACAATTGGGCCCTGTTCATATTACCTGGCTAGGTGGGAGACAACATTTGCCAGTATGTTCTATCCTATCCTGCTACTATCGGCCTAGCTATTAAAGCATGAGGTTTCCATTGCCAGAATCCTGGCTGTATGTAAGCCAAGAAATTCACCATATACACCAAACAGGCAACATGAATTAGGCTTCAAGCATGTGTTCTGGATAGTCTAGATCATATAAACAGGTCCCCAATAGATCCTGATCTACTATAATTGAAACATTTTAGTCCATAAATTTGTGCATTACCAGAATACCTGTGCACAAATGAATATTTTACACATATTATATAATGCAATCCAATATTAAGCCCCCAGTAACCTCACAAATAGGCCTCCCTTCCGAAAATCAGATCTCCCTTCCAAAAATAAGCTCTCCCTGTTAAGGGCTGTCAAAATGGGCCATGCTAGCCCAGCAAACATGGCTGGATTTTCTTTTCAGGGCTAGTTTGTCATTTGCCTCACAGGAGCCAGGCTAACCTGGCAACTGTTGTGAAGAAATTTGTGTGAAATGCTGGTTAATTTGTTAATGACAACAGCTTCAGAAGGCTTATATTAATCAATTTCTTACTTACTTGGGCCAAATTGTGTATTATAACATGATTTTTAGTCGAGTGAGCTGGTTGGCCAGCTTATGACCTTTATTAGTGTGAGACTCCCAATGCAGGATATCAACTTGCTCAAGCAAATGCTGGGCCAATAAATTCAACCAGGCTGTTTCATGTGAATGCAATCTCAAACATATATAAAATTAATATACGAGGCAGTATCTTACCATAGGCAGGTGTATATTTAGCCCATATAAATGGGCAAGACCAGCTTGCATGCCCAGTGTGATATTATACTACTGACAATACCTGGTTGATTCTACAAGATTATGGCCTAAAATGTTCCAATTGTAGTTTCAGGATCTGCTAAGGGTCTGTTGATATGATCTGGGCTAGTCAGCATGGGACCCTAAAGGCAAGTTCATGTTGCCTGGTTGTGGGATAGAATGTTTACTGTAAATGGTGAATTTCTTGGCTTGCATAGTTGGGATTCTGGCAACAGATACCTTGTGCTTAGCCAGATAGTAGCAGGATAGTATATCAGCAATACTGGCAAATGTTGTCTCCTGCCTAGCCAGGTCATAAGAACAGGCCCCATTTGTGACTAGTGGGCCAGATTAAGGAAGAAACAATGAGGGTCCTATGACTATGCTGTGACTATATATGTCCATAAATTTTGATATCTGAACAAAATTTTGATATCTGTCCCAAAGTCATCCATCTTCCTTAAGTTTAGGACTCTGAGACCAATGAATATATTGTCATTCAAGGATTAAAAACAGTGAAGAAAAGTGTTATGGTCAAACAAATGAAAATATTCATATCCACAGGCTGCAACACGCAATGTTGACACATTATTTTGAAGTCGACTAAATGTCGAAATAGATGAAAAACGAGCCAAAAAACAGTTATTGAGCTAATCAATCAAATAAATACTTGGCATAAGTTTGAAGGTCCATAGTCCAAATATTTGATGAGCTTCTTTATCCCATTTATACGAACAAAATTTTAAAAATTCCCTGTATTTAGATATTCGCCATATTGATCGCCACGCTGTTTGGCAAGAAATCGACATGTCAACTTGTCCCGGCCCGGAAATGCCCTGTTTACTTGTTACACAGGATATTAATAAGTTAATGTGAAAATATGAAGATAAAAGTATCTATTAAAAAATAAAACCTCAAACCTCTATTTGAAAGGCTTTTAAAAACGCTAATCCGTTCGGAACCTACAAGTTCGAGGGGTGGTATTTAAGGCTGCGCAACGCAAAGTTTGAAGACCCATATCTTCGCAATCACGCAATTAATCAAAAATCGCCACGAGGAAGTTGAGGAGAATTCTTTTAAGAACAACATATATGAATTTCATGGCAAAAAACCAAAAAAACGCTTGCAGAAAAGCTCTGAAGTAACCCCATATGTTTGTTTACAAATTTCATGTGATGAAGCGTTTTACGCATTCTGATTGGCTTAGGGCAAAAATGTAAACAACAGCGCTGATTGGTCGAGAACGAAATTCCCCCTTGTTACGCGGAGATAGTCCATCACTGCTGTATAACTTTTTATATGTAGCCTTGCTGATAATATTGGATTTCTTCAAAAGAAGTAACTTGGCGTTTAAACCTCTTTGAGTCTTTCTAGTAGGATCAGACTTGAGAATAGAATACGTATTTCTGTTTTTCAACTGTGAAAGAGCCTTCTTGCGATAATCATGTTTGTCCATAACAACAACACAATTGCCTTTGTCCGCTGAAAGAATAACCCTGTCCGGATCTTTTTTAAGAGCAAGTAAAGCTTTGAAAACATTCGAATCAATGTTTTTTGGAGGTATTTTGGCACATCTAAGAATGCTACTGACCTCAGCTCTTACCAATCGCTTAGCATCACTCATGCTGTATATTCTATACCATGCGGTGACTGCGAGAAAGAGTATTTGGGTCAGCCTAAACACCAGTTTGGTACACAGCTAAAAGAACATCAAAAGGCTGTTTCAACTTTAGACAAGGGGAAATCAGCTTTAGCCGAACATGTATGTTACACCAAACATGAGATTGCGTTTGAAAACTCAAAAGTAATTACCACAAACAATCGCTATGGTCAAAGACTTTGCTTAGAAGCGTGGCATATAAATATGAGTAATCATGCTTTGAATAGGGATGATGGTGCCTATTTGCCAGAGGAATATATGCATCTCATTGGCAGGTGACGTCATCCCTTGGGTATTTAAGAGTACATGTCAGTAAAAATCGAATATATAAGATATTTCGCGGCCACGACTGAAAAATCGATTTTACTCAAATTTTGCCCAGATATACCTTATTATATCGGAAAATGCACCATACATTTTTTTAGGTGAAATGCTTTTTTAACTTTGAGAAAATGCCGTTTTAACGCGACCACCCTAAATCACCATTTTGTCTGGGAAAATATGCGCCGATTTTAAGGACAAATTTCAAGAGGACAACCGTTTCTAATCGATCTAAAACCCTAAAAATCTTGTTCTCTGTTATTCAAAGGACCGGGAACGTGACTTACAGGAAATCTGAGTTACTTTTAGGAATAGAAAAAATCGTAGTTTTGGAGCACACTGTCTTACTTCATTTACGATACCCCCTTAACAAAACTGATTTTCACCATGGGATAAAGCTCCAAATCGATCATGCTTCTACTAGTTGGCTCTTTAATAAACAAGCTTTCAATCGACGTAAATACTTCTTTGGGCAAATAAATACGCGATAAATGACAACGCGTTGTAATCTTCGGTTTTTGACGTCTTGCAAGTCAAACGCTATAAATTTACATATCGTCGAAGTAAACAATTTAATCAAGCATTCTAAGTATTTTACCTTTTGAGAAGAAACATATTCTTGAATGGAGACTTCTTTCCTTGCTAAGTTTAAAAGTGGTCCAGAAATCCCGGTATATTTTTTAAAAAATCATCATA